ACAAATATTGGTCTCAGCTACTTGACTCAACTTACAACGTTTGCACTCTCTCAAAATGCCTTTACTATATGTTGAGATCTCGGGTACCCAATGGTCAACTAACACCTGCGACTTTCTTTTCTTCCTTATTCTACCAACTATTGACTTCAAATTTTCTTTGTTGATAATTACCGTAAAACGCTTTTTAAAGTACCTGGGGTATTTTACATTCAACACGTGATTTGGGGGTACAATACATGGGGGATACTATAGTCAAAGAGGGATACTATACATTCTTCAGGGGAGGGATACTATACATTTTCCAGGGGTTTGTAGCGATTGGTTAAAGACGCTTAAAGAAGTTCTTTTTAGACAATTGCACATGTTAACCACACGTAATGTTTACTTAAAAGATATAAAAGATTAAAATTTAATAAAAAAAATTTTTTTTTTTTGTAAACTTGTAAATTCGCTTAACATGGTCGTTAGTAGTAATAGAAGTGCTTTGAAGGCACATACAACTAAAAAATTATGAAGGCACTGGCATGCCCGAGAAAAATTAATGATTATTACCTATCAAGAAAAAAGTAATAAAAGTAACAAGGCAATAGGCCAAGAGTTTAATATTTAAACAAAGCAAGTAAGAGACTGGAAAAGCAAAAAAGCTGAGTTAATTAAAGCTTCTCTACAGCTTCTTAAGTTGCATAAGGGTAAACCGCCGAAATATCCACAGCTAGAAAAAGCTTTGTTTGATTGGATTACCGAACGACGCAATAATCAATATGCAGTTACTCGTTCATTAGTAACTACCAAAGCATCTTCATTAACTCGAACAGAATTTAAAGATCTTCCCAGAATTTACGAGTTTAAGTTCTCAAATAAATGGCTCAACGGTTTTTTAGATCGATATAATTTGTCAAATCGCCGACGCACTACTGTTGCGCAACATTTGCCTGAGGATTTGGAAGAAAAACAACAAAACTTTCTTAGTTTTGTTTTATATTGATGAATTCAGCACGATTATCTTTTAGAATTAATGGGAAATATGGATGAAACCCTCTTACCTATTGACTTGCCCAATATGACAACGATCGAAAAACGTGGAGCCAATACCATTAGTATTCATACTACTGGTCACGAAAAAAGTAATTTCATAGTTGTACTTAGCTGCATGGCTGATGGAACCAAATTACCTCCAGTCTGTATTTTTAAACTGAAAAATGTGCCTCGAGAAAAATTTCCTAATGGTGTATTTGTTCGCGCTAATGAAAAAGGATGGGTTAATGAGACTGAGATACTTTGGTGGATTGAGAATATCTGGACGAAAAGACGACCTTTAAGCAATTCACGCTCTCTTTTAATTCTCGATTCTTTTCGTGCCCATCTAGTTGATCCAGTTAAAAATCGTTTTTCTGAAAAAACCACAAACTTGGCAGTAATTCCTGGCAGATTGACAAAAAAATTGCAACCATTAGATGTTTCAATCAATAAAAGTTTCAAAGACAAGGTATTTTTTATTTTATTAATTTTACTTCTCTCTTTTTTCTTTTTTTTCTTTGCATAAAATTTCTTTTAAAGGTTCGTGCACTATATAATGAATGGATGTTGGAAGAAATTCATGAATTGACACCTGCAAAACGCATTAAGAAACCATCATACGCGTTACTTGCTGAATAGGTAAAAAAGGCATGGGAAGCTCTTGATCCCAATTTAATCTGACGTTCATTTAAATGTTGTGGAATATCTGTTGCAAGAGACGGCTCAGAAGATGAGTGGATTTTTGACTATGATAGAGTGTCGGGTACGAATCGGCAAAGCAATTATATTGAAATTAGTCAAGATCAAACTACTGTGAATGAAGAATTACACGAAGAATTGTATGAAAAAAACGTATATGAAGAAGATTTGGTTGAGTATGAAAATGACTGGAATGTAGGATCTGGTAATCATAGCAGCATAGGTCTTAGTCGTGAATCTGAGGTTGAAAATGAAAATAGTGATCTCAAATAAGATTTTTTTTTTGAATACTCATATATAAAAACGATAATTGAATATCATATAAAATTGAATAAAGGGGGGTATTTTACATTTTTTGAATTGGTGACATCATTTAAAGTACCCAGGTACAATACAAAAAACACACTCAAAAATGTTAGGGGGGTACTTTACACAGTGGGTACTTTAAAGAGCGTTTTACGGTACCCACTCACAATGTCTTCGATCATCAGACAACTTTCCTGCCTTTGTTTGCATAAACATCGAGTTCTCTTCTAGCAACTTGAAATGGTCAATTATCTCTCTACTTTCCATACACCCAATTACCTTCTTCTCTATTATGTTAAACCTTTTGCTTTGTAACCTTTTAATGTCTTTGTTCTTAATGCGCGAAGCTTATTCCATGTTATCATCCTTGTACCTGTTATATCAATCAACTGGTTTATATAGAATAAGTTAAAACTTCTAATACTGCTGTAATAGGCGCTATAAATCTCCTCTCCCATTACTTCAACTAATGTTGGACCTGTACCACAAACTTGCCACTTTTCAGTATTAGTATGAATCGATTTGCTTTAACTAAAATTGACTCTGCCAGATTGTTTTTCTAGACCTTTTTGAGATACCGATTTTGAGATTTTGGCCAAATCTGTTTAACTAACCCAGCCAATATATACCCCTCATTTAGTCTTATTTGTGTCATCTTCTCTACTTGATCTACTCTATTAAGTTTATTTTGCAAGCATACTAATTGTT